CAATTGTGACAGCCACGTAGTTAACTGTGCCTACCTTGTTACACTTATCTCTATTATGGACTATTTTATTTAGTAGGCTATATTTTTGCAATAGTCACACAATAGTCGGATGCGTCGTCACCATAGTTGTATGCATCTCACCATGGTCTGTTGCCAAGGCTCACCCACTTATTTCGCATATATATAGACTCCTACAAAGAACTCCTCTAGCAATGAATTCAATCTAGTTCCTCATGCCTCTAGTGCTTCACATAGCTTCACACTATAGCTTGCTAGTAGAACCTTTTAAACTTTATAAGCTAACTTTTCTACTAGTATTAATTCTATAGCTTAAAAATATGTATATTTTTTTTATTAGCATATAATTACTATAATTATATTATATATTTTTTAGATTCTTGTTTCTTTACTTTCGTTGCTTGGTAATAATGTTTATAAACATGCTTATTTAAAGTTTATCTAGTGTAGGTAGCAGCTAGAGTAACTTACATAGCTTATGCTTTACTAGATTGTTTTTATATATAATTATAATTTTTTAACTCTTTTTAACTATTTTTTTTTAAATTTTTATACTTTAAAAACTTTTTTATTTTATCTACTATAGGTTTAACTTTTTAATATTTATACTTTGTTATAATTAGCATGCTTAAGCTACAAGTAAAAGGTAGTGTAACTTAAATAGATTAAACTAAGAAGTAAAAGTGTTGCTTTAAAGAAAGATATACCTCTACTAAAGCCTAGGCTAGGCTTTAGGCCTAAAAAGAGAACTAGCTTCTAGAATATACTATAACACACTGCTATCTACTCTAGTAAGCTATAAAAATTAATAATAAGTTTATCTTAACATACTTTACAGGCGAGTTGCTCACACACCTGAGTCGCTTACTTTTGCTAAGACTACACCCTAATAAACTCTATTATAGCCTATAACAACCCGCTCTAGCACTATATAGTACAGAATAGCCTAGAATATTATTTAGATACTACTTCTGCTTCTTACTTACATGTTTATGTGTTATACCTAGTCTAATTATACTATTTACAGCGCCTTTAGAATAGCTTACCTACTTTAGCTTATACCTACTTTTTTACCTTTTTTCTGTTACTACGCGCTTTAAACTTTTTTAAAGCTATTAAGTATAAGCTTTTTTAAATTATTAAAGTCTTTTTTACTTTAATTTACTTTTTTTTATGTAATTTATATTATGTAGTAGCTTTATTAGCTACTTAAAGCTTAGTAATTTTCTATTACACTAACACTAGCTTATACATAATTATTACTGCCCTTTTTAAGACTTTTTTAAACACTTTAACTATAAAATTTAGTAAACTATTTATATACTTCTAAATTTTTATCTTTATAAGTATTAATTATAACTTAAGTTTTAAAGTATAACTTAAAGTTTACAACTACTAAGGCTTATTATATATAAGTAGTAGTAGTAATAGAGTGCGTAACTTTATATTAAGGCCTATTATAACTTAACTTATTATAAGTTAAAAAGAACTAATCTAGTGCTTTAAAACTTTTTTTAAATATTACTAAAAGTAATTATAGCATTATAGGCTACTTTAAAGTATAGTAAAAACTTTATTTTTATAATATAAGTAATCTAGTTATATATAAAGTTTTAGCTTAGCACTTATACACTTTTTTTAAAGAAGTAAAACAACTTACATTAAGTAGCTATAAAAAGTGTAATAAGTAAAAAAGTATATAAATAGTAATAATTTTATTATCTTTATAGTATTACTAAAAATAAAGTAGGTAATAGCTCTTATAGCTATTAATAACTAGTAGATAGTAGCTACTAATAGTACACTTTTTTATATGCGTGTTAAAGTGCTTTAACTAGTCTAAACTAAGCTAATTAGTAGTCTAGCTGTGCTTAGAAACTATAATAACTTAATTTTAAAGTAGATTTTTTTTATACTAGTTTAAAAAGTAATTACTACTCTAAAAAATAATAAAAGGTAAAATAGCTTACTTTTTAGCATTAATGCTCTAAATAGCTATTGTCTACTTCTAGTTGCCTAGCTAGACTACTTTTAGCTATTTTTATCTCTCTAAACTTCTAATAACTACTCTAGTAGATATCTAGCCTATTATAAACCTTATTTTATTAATGTTATACATATTATTATTTTAGATGCTATACTTAGCTTTAATATTTTTTATAAAGTTAAACTAGCTTTAAATTACTATAAAGTTTTTATAAAAAGCTTTTTTATAGTTATACTTATACTTAAACTTTAATTTAAGCTTTAAGTAGCGCTTAATAAATATATTAAGCTAGTTTATGCTAACATAGCCTATATTACACTTAGTGTGTAAAGAATTAGCTATATTAGCTATAGCTGCTAGCTAAGAGGGAAATTTTTACACATTTAGCTTAAGTATGTGCTAAATAATTACTTACTTTTTATTATTATCTAGCTTTTATAAGTTAGCTATATAATTAGCTTAGAAAAGTTGTCTAGTGTGTTTATTACTTATTATTTTTTAAAAAAAACTTTATAAATAGCTATAGTGTATTACTTAAAAAGTATTATATTTTATTTAAAAGCTTAAAGTGTAAGCTATATTTAATATTCTTTTAACATGTCTAAGTAGTATTATTAAAAATACATTAGTGTAAAAAGAGTAGTGTAGTAGGGTTTTAGCAAAAGTAAGCAACTTAGGTGTGCAAGCAACTTGCCTGTAAAGTACGTTACTATTTTTAAGTATGTTTAAAACTATATTTTTAGCTTATATATAATTCTTAAAGACGCTATCTAAGTTATAATTATTAACATACTCTATAAGTAAGTTACTTACACACTTAAGTTACTTACTTTTACTAAGACTATACTAAACTACTCTTTTTACACTAATGCATTTCTAATAACACTACTTAAATATGTAAAAGAAATGTTACATATAGCTTATACTTTAGGCTTTTAAATAAAATGTAACCCTTTCTAAGTAATATGCTATAGCTAATATAGCTAAATTTTTACACACTAAGTATAATCTAGGCTATGTTAGTATAAACTAGCTTAGTATATTTATTTAGTTTTACTTAAAGCTAAAAGTAAAGTTTAAGTATAACTATAACTATAACTTTAAAAAGGCTTTTTATAAAAATCTACAAGTAATTTAAAGCTAGTTTAGCTTTATAAAGAATATTAAAGCTAAGTATAGTATTTAGTATAAGTCTTCAGTAGCACTACAAAGAAGGAGGTGGAAGCGCGCGAAGTATGCTTCCACAGCCTTCCGCATCGTTGGAAAACTGGACTACGATGTTGTCCATGAAGTGGTACAGCACGTCCACTTTGCTTGATTGCTCCATGCTTGCTGACTTCCGCAATGAACCTATGGAATGCATCGCATTAAGTCTGACTAGATTCCAGTGACGCCGGGACAACGGAAGCGGAAGCCAAGAGTTGAACGGTATCCTAAGGATCGATTTACGCACTTTGAGCATCGCGAAAGCCTCGTTGGAGAGGAGGTCAAACTCGGACTGGTCGGCGCCCTCTGCTCTTGATGGAGACGCCGATGCCGAGCTAGGTGTCCATACATCCCTTCTTGAGGCAGAAGCACACCAGCTCCCGGATGCGGATGAAGTCGTAGGAATTAAGCAGTGCCCTGGGGGGATGTATTGCATCGGCGAAAGAGACGATGTCTGCCGTGTGCAGTTGATCCGAAATCAGCAGGACGACCTCGTCGGAGAGTTTGAATAATCCACATTTTTGGTCTACCTCTTGGGAGCGGTTTCGATCCTCTATATTCTTGGCTGCGACGTCCTACATTGGGCCAGGCAGCTCCTGCTGCACATCCCGATTGCCGAATATGCAAACATTGCACGTGTAACTTACGGACGTGGAACGAACACCTTGATCACGTTAGCAGGGAGGGCGGCCGACCCGCTCCTACCACACCATTGTGATAGTTTACTCCAAGGTGGCATGCTAACAAGGCGGACTAGACCGAAGTATCGTTGGCGATGGACACATCCAGTGGCAAAGTGAGCAAGCCAACCATGGAACGGTTCGGTGAAGAGAACGGAGTAGAAGTGTGGACGATGAGATGGCTCGGGAGGCCCGGGTCTAGCGGCCAGCATGCACCTGTGGTTGTTAAGGTGGAGACAAAGGAGGACGCGGAGAAGCTGCTAAGATCGGACAGTGTTTCGTTTAGGGGAGGCGGGGTTATCATGTCGCTATTCGAAGAGCGACGTACTCTAGTGGCATGTTTTAGGCAGGACGTTCGGACACAGAGCTCGAGACTGAGCGCGACCGGAAACGCGCGGGCAGGAAGGCCATCTTGAGTGCGAGACGGTTAACCTGAGTTGTGCGAACTGCCAACGTCCGCACTGGGCATCGCATCAGGATTGCCCGAAATACAAGAAAGAAACGAACAGAATTCTTGCATGCCAACAACATGGCTAACTAGGTCTACTTATATCCACGGTTGAGATTCGTTTCGTATCTCGCTTTATTTCGCAATCGCTGTAGCCCTCTCAGATTGCTCAGCAGCTTTGGGCCATTTAGCAATACGACTTGGTAAATTGCTACCCGTGGAAGCAGCTATTACAGTTATCAGCAATAGTTGCTGTGAAGGCGCTTTTCAAGGGTACTGGTGGATACAAGTAGATTACAGAGTAGAATGTCGACATACGCATACTTGTTCGACCTCTCGGGTTTGCTATACACTCTCTTTATTTCCTACGTTGATCACCGTGTCAATTGAAGGAGAAATTGGCTCTCACAGTTGGCAATTGAATGGGAGCTAGCACACTTTTTTTGTAAACTACTCTAGTTGGCGCATAGTAACGGCCCATCCGGGTGCATGGCCATAATAGAAAACACACACACAAACGCGTGATAGTTTGCTGAAGGAGAGACGTATTGTTGAAAGAGTAGGATATAATCTCGGACTTTCTTTTACTCGATTCGTGGACGTTCGCTTAGCTAGATCCTGCTGCAAGGCGGCCGTGTAGCTCAATACCTCGACCCCTAATCCCATCCCAACGACACCCTTCCGGCCCCACCCAAGGGGTGCACGAGGAAGCCATCGTGGAGGACTTCCGTACAATGAGCCTATGTTAAACGGTCCTATCTCAGGTGTCCCCAGAACTCACAGCACCAGGAGTATGGTCAATTCATTTTCCTCAGACAAATTGGATTTGACCCGAGCACTTGTAGGCGACCCCTGGGGATCAATTATGGGAGGTGGCTGCGACCGGAGTCGGATGGGATCAGACACAGTATGCGTTCCTATAATTCTAAGCTCATAGAGAAGTTGGCGAATGTGTTTTGTCTTCAAACGGCCAGGCTTGGATCCATTGACTTCTCTCCTCTTCGGTTTTCGCGTAGCGATCGAGAAAGTTCTCGCGACATCGAGCCAACCGCTCCTTATACACAGGGTAGTTGTTATGATTGACCCAACCATCCCATCCCTGGTATGCGCCGACCTCGGTCAAAATCTCATGCATTAGCTCAACACCTTCGCTCCAACTCGCCTCGAGACGTTTCTGCTGCGTCCTATCCTCGGGAGTAAAGGAAAGGGGGCACGGTATGGAAGACCTAACACATGTGGCCCACTCGTCCTGAAGTTGAATGAGCATTCCCTTTAGGATTGGCTCTCCATCGCTGAAGATTGAGCTTGCCAATCCAGTAATTTGACCAGGCAGAGTGTCTCGAAAGTGCAGCGCATGGGCAATCTCCGGACACCGTCGGAGAATGAGGATTTCATAGAGCTTATAGAGAGACTGAGCGGCCCGGAGATTCTTCGCTTGGTGTTGTGTTTCCTCGCTCATATCATCAAAACCATCGGGTAGTATTATGGGCTCAAACCCTTCTGGTATTGGCCCTTCAAATTCGATGAGCGAAGGATGGCGTGCTTGGAGGAAGAGAGGGGAAACATTGACCGCTTGCCAGTCGATGATGTTGAGGATTCTTGTCGGCTGGGAAGGGTCAACGAAGATGTTGTCACTATGCAGATCGGAGTGCCATAGAGTCGGCTTTGACAGGTTGGCATCAGTGGGCAGAATCTGGGTTGCGACTTTCAGATAATCCCCGAGGACTTCGACCTTTAATGCTCTGGTTGGATGGTATTGGTTGGGACCGCTGAATAGCCCTTGCTGACCAGGATAGGATGAGAACTTATCGATGCACGCTAGCTCTCGGGCGGCGCGGGAATGGACAAATTCGTTGAGTGAAGGCCCTGTCATCTAATCAGCTTGGGACGAGCATGACAGAGAGGGTAAGGGAACCTACACGGCCCTCGATTTACTTCGACAGAGCCTCTTCCTTGGTCGAAGAACGCCCTGTTAGTTGTCGGACCGACTACGAAGGTTTCTCCCTTGTCTATCGAGTTGACGGAGTCAAGAAATTGACTTGGGCTGGGGCTAGGTAGGTCCTTCGCATAATACAAGCTCCCGTGCATAGGAAGATTGGCAGAAACAAAGGCTTTCTCGTACCCAACCAAAGTCCTGATAACCTCAAGTCTTTCCTCCCAAGGCATGTCATGCCATATCTTGCCCAATTCTACCCCTCCACTGCGTTCCATTAGGATGTACTCTGCTCTAACGGGATTGTCCGTCGAGGAGCTCCAGCCATATACCCGGGGCGCCGGGATACCAAGGACGTTTCGAACCTGCAACCTAACTTCATGTCAGCAATCATCAGATGTAATGAGTCGAGGAGCCCATCCGTAGTCCATGGTGGCGGCTTCGCTAGCTGTCGTAAAGTGCGGCCGTCCAGCATTCGGGTTCGGAAGTTTGGCGATCAATTCTCGGCCATCATCCATGGCAATCAGGAAGGCCTTGCTAAAGTTTCCTTCAGGCAGTTTCTCAACCTTGACGCAAGAACGAGCTCCGATCGCTTGCGCTGAGACTTGGAGGAGTCCCGGTAAGTCGAACTCAACGTAACGGCAAGCAAGCTGATACTTCTCATTCCAGAGCCATCGACCCGAAGTGTATTTGTAAAATTGCTCCACATCGCAGTCTCGAAGAATGCCGGCGTAGTGCGAAGTCATTGTGTACTGCCGGGAATGCGGCGGTGAGGGCGAAGTTAGTTTAGTCGACCTCGCGAACCGAGAAGAGATGAGGAGCTGTCGGCGGAACCAACTCATTTGCAAAGAGCTTAAAATCGTATTCGAGGTAGAAGCTCGATGAACAGTAGTTGAGGCAGCAAGGAGTGACATACCAGATGCGATCGCAGTGCCAATTGCGATCGAGGCGGTAGAGCCCTGGCGGCTGATGGGGTTCAAGGTAGTCGATGGGTTTAGTTGGGGTTGATTTTATCCAACTAGGTTTCAGCCACCCACGTCCGCAGCTATGCCTAGAGTCACTTGGCAGACAGCCAACGCGTCGTGGACACTTTGTTCCGCGTGTCAAAATAATCTGATTTGCTTCAAGTCAGAGTACCCCTCAAGCGTCCTAACATGGAGGGTGTCCCAGCACGTAGGGAGAGATGTTACGTTATATTCTCTTTGCGGTTAGCGAACATAGCCAAACACTCTCGTGCTGGTCACACTAGTACAACTAGTCATGGAGTCCTCCTGCACGCGTCCTCGTTGCCCTGGCTGGAAATATTCATTAGGGAGGTTTCTTTGATGGATAGCTTAGTGCAGAGGCGATGGATGATAGCTTGCAGCTTGCCGCTACCGGCTGTTGGGGCGCGAAATCGACGCGATGAAAAAAAATTCCATTGACGCGCCGACCGCACCACAACCACATCACCTACTGCCTCCGCTTGGGCGATGCGATCATCCATCTATGGAGGTTTATATCAAGGGAATCTAGTATACGAAAACCATCCGACGTACGACTATCTGGCTCGCAGCCAGGCCCGAAACTGGCCTTATCCAGCCAACCGACATCGTCGCGTCCTAGTCGATCAAAAGGGATGAATCTAACTATACCCGCCGCGCCATATCTTCTCATCATCGTGGTATACGCCGTTCTTACATAAATCGGCATTAAGAAATGCTTCAAACCGAATGCCATTAATAAGCCACCTAGGGACCTGTTGAAGGAATCGGAAGCGCCAGTTTCCATGAACTACTTCCCGTCTCGGAAATGCCACTACACACGCGGCTTCTATTTAATGATATTCCACCACAGCCTTTCTTCCATGCTATATTCACAACATCTTCAGCCTCATACACTGTAGGTATAGATACATGTACACTCGATGCTGTAGTTCATTCACTTGGGGATAATCTAGTTCTAAGCTCTCTCCGTGTTCTCGTGTGTTTGGATAAGACATGTCCATCGGACCGCCTTCGACTAACCCGCGTAGGCAATCCTGGGTGCAATATTGCCAATTCGTCGCCTGGGGACTACGACTAGGCGAAGGGCTACCGGTGGTCGCATTGGTGCTCGAGACACGCGCGAGGGCGGGGTGTCCGGACCAGGCTCGTCGCTAGGTTCATGCTGATTCTCTAGTCGCCAGCAGGTTCGGGAGCTAGTTTGGACTAGTTGTAGTCAGAGCTAGACAGGAGACGTACGAAGGAATCCAATGTGCTGAGGTGGTCGGTACTCCGATGATGGTATGTCTTGTAGAAGAAAGGTACTAGCAGATCGTCGTATACGACCTCCCAGCTATTCAATTAAGCGTCGGCCTCATCCATGATTCACTTTGATTTCCAACATACTTAACTCCTTACATCTTAACCTAAAACATAGAAATAACAGTACGTTGCACCACATTGCGAACTTGCACGATGACTGCCACTCCAACTGATCGCGGTTCAGAAGCTGGGTGCTCTTGTTGAATCGGTAACAGCGCCACGTAACTGTGACCAGTGCTGCGCCGCAGGCAGGCGACTAACACCAAGCTAAACAAGTCGCCGTTCCTTTGCCCTGTCTGATTTACAAGTAACGTCCCTCACTGTGCGTCGAGAAACACACCGGGACGAGAAATATGAGGGGTATTTCAACTTCAAGTAACTCAAAATCTGTGCACACGTTAATATTCATGATAACTCTCCATACATTATATGCTGTAGCTATTTCTGGACATCTAGGACCCCTTCGATCTAAAAGTTACGTTACGCATCGTTGCTTTCTCGCCTGATTCGCAGAGAGCCTTATTCCTTAGTGGAACAGCGTTCCTTCCCTATAGCACCACTGATAAGCTCTTGTCACTCTGTAATACTTGTAGTGTTGTTATCTAAGCCTTAGAACTTTATTACAATGCTTAAGCGTGAAGGGGGGAATAGGGGTGTCTGGAGACTTGTTTGTTTTGTGCGAGGGGGTTTTGGCGACGACGCGCGATGGACAACGCGTTCAGATTGATGCCAAGCTAATCCGGCTAGCCTAGCTAATAGGGTGCAGGTACACATACAAGAGTGCTAGACATCGAGAATGTTTGAATGGTGAGAATGGGTCCATACATGATGATGATGATGATGTCTTTATTACGCCCGGCTCTAGCCTAGAGGGCACTAGTGTGTTATTACCTAAGCCCTTCCTTAGTAATAGCTTAACTCCTTGTAGCCCTTACATGCCTCCTGCTCTGCTATCTAGCGTAGTTGTTACATATCCCCTAATTATAATTTGTAGCAAGTGTTCTTAAAGTTTTTTCTTTAAGTGTTTAAAGTCCTTTTATTAGTAAGTAAAGTAAAGCCTGCTGTTATATAGAGTTAGTATTAAGCGTTTTTTTTCTACTAACGTACTTCATGGGCGAGTCGCTCACACACCCGAGTCGCTTACTTTTGCCAAGACCCCACCCTAACAAACTCTATTATGGCCTATAACAACCCGCTCTGGCACTATATAGTACAGTACAGCCTAGAATATTATTTAGATACTACTTCTGCTTCTTGCTTACATGTTTGTGTGTTATGCCTAGTCTAATTGCACTATCTGCAGCGCCTTTAGGATAGCTTACCTACTTTAGCTTACACCTGCTTTTTTGCCTTCTTCCTGTTACTATGCGCTTTAAACTCCTTTAGAGCTATTAAGCGCAGGCCTTCTTAAATTATTAAGGTCTTTTCTGCTTTAATTTGCTTTCTTTTATATAATTTATGTTACATAGCAGCCTTATTAGCTGCTTAAAGCTTAGTAATTTTCTGTTATACTAACACTAGCTTATATGTAATTATTACTACCCTTTTTAAAACTTTCTTAAACACTTTAACTATAAAAGTTAGTAAACTATTTATATGCTTTTAAATTTTTATTTTTATAAGCATTAATTATAACCTAAGTTTTAGAGTATTACTTAGAGTTTGCAACTACTAGGGCTTGTTATATATAAGTAGTAGTAGTAATAGAGTGCGCAACTTTACATTAAGGCCTATTATAACTTATTATAAGTTAAAAGGAACTAATCTAGCGCCTTAGAACCTTTATTAGATATTACTAGAAGTAATTATAGCATTATAAGCTGCTTTAAAGCATAGCAAAAACTTTATTTTTATAATATAAGTAATCTAGTTATGCATAAAGTTTTTAGCTTAGCGCTTATACACTTTTTTTAAAAGAGTAAAATAACTTACATTAAGTAGCTATAAAAAGTGCAATAAGTAAAAAAGCATATAAATAGTAATAATCTTATTATTTTTATAGTATTACTAAAAATAAAGTAAGTTATAGCTTTTATAGCTATTAATAACTAGCAGACAGTAGCTGCTAACAGTACACTTCTTTATATGCATGTTAAAGTGCTTTAACTAGTCTAGACTAAGCTAATTAGTAGTCTAGCTATGCTTAGAGATTATAATAACTTAATCTTAGAGTAGATTTTCTTCTTTATACTAGTTTAAAAAGTAGTTGCTACCCTAAAAAATAATAAAAAGTAAAATAGCCTACCCTTTAGCATTAATGCCTTAAATAGCTGTTGTTTACTCCTAGTTACCTAGCTAGACTGCTTTTAGCTGTTCTTATCTCTCTAAACCTGTAACAACTGCTCTAGTAGATATCTAGCCTATTATAAACTCTGTTTTGTTAAAGTTGTACATGTTATTATTCTAGATGCTATACTTAGCTTTAATATTCTTTATAAAGTTAAACTAGCTTTAAATTACTATAGAATTTTTATAAAAGGCTTTTTTATAGTTATACTTGCGCTTAAACTTTACTTTAAGCTTTAAGTAACACTTAATAAATATATTAAGCTAGTTTATGCTAATATAGCCTATATTATGCTTAGCGTGTAAAGAATTAGCTATATTAGCTATAGCTGCTAGCTAGGGGGGAAATCCTTACGCATCTAGCTTAAGTATGTGCTAAATAATTACCTACTTTTTATTATTATCTAGCTTCTATAAGTTAGCTATATAATTAGCTTAGAAAGGTTGTCTAGTGTGTTAGTTACTTATTATCTTTTAAGAGACTTTATAGATAGCTGCAGCGCGTTAGTTAAAAAGTGTTATGTCTTATTTAAAAGCCTAAAGTGTAAGCTGCATCTAACATTTTTTTAACATGTTTAAGTAGTGTTATTAGAAATGCATTAGTGTAGGAAAAGTAGTGTAGTAGGGTCTTAGCAAAAGTAAGCAACTTAGGTGTGTAAGCAACTTGCCTATGAAGTACGTTATTATCTTTATAGTTCTAGGTTTCTATCTTCTTTCTTGCTTTAGGTAGCCTGTTGCTATTACATACCTAACTGTTATCTTTACTATGTTAATATCTAGCAACTATTCTGCTAGGTCTACTAGTGCCTTTCTTTTTAAAAAAAAAAGGGGGGTTTCTTTTTCTAGTCTCTATTTACTAAAGCATTTGTATTTAAAGTGTGTCTTATCTTTAGCATTAAAAAAAAAAGTGCTAAATAGTTTCTTTTACCTAACTACATATATATATGTTTAAGTCTGCAGCTTTTATTTAGTTTAGGTATGTGTTTAGCTGTGTTATCTTAGTTTATAATTATGCTAGTATCTTTACTTCTTGCTAGGTTAAGGCGTTATAGAGCTTTTTAGTGTGTTTTCTTAGTAAAGCTATGTCTATCTTGCGTAAGTATTTTTTTACTTCTGTTAGTAAGTCTTTTCTCTGTCCCTAGTTTCTTACTATAGTCCTAGTTACTGTTAACCTTGCTTAGTAAAAAGGTCTAGTTAGCACGCTGCTATCTGCTGTGGCTTTCCTTGCTGCTTCTTTAGCCTTCTTTACTAAATTGTTGCTTCCTGCTAGGCACTATACTATATGTATAGAGCACTGCTTTTCCCTTAGTGCCTAAGTTACGTTGTAGATCTATTTAATGCTAGCTTAGCTAGACTAATTTTGCAGTTAGCGTATTGCCTGTATAGCTGCTTAACTACTAGTAAGAATAATAACCTAGTCTGCTGTCTAGCATGTTAGGAGGGAGGTCAGCGCTGCCGCCATTGCTGCCAGCTCTGCTGTGTAGGGGTTTTGCTCTGTCCTAGGTCCTAAGGTAAAGAACAAGGTAGCAGCTTAAGTAAGCGCTCCTCTCTGCGTGTTGTCTATCGCCCCTCCTATCTCTACTATACTAAGCTAGACAGATGCGCTTGTTGCAATTCTAATACTGTTACACTAGTTAACTAGTGTTATAGCCTTTACTTAGTTTAGTTTAATTATTACTAAGATGCAATAGTTTTATAGCTGCGCACTATGCAGATTAATTATTTTTATCTAGTTAGTATTAAGCTTTTCTAGCTATTTTGCAATTTTTTGCAGCAGTAATTAAAACTGTTAAAAGCCTGTAATATAGAATTTTAACATAGAGTTTGTTCTTAGCAGTGTGTGGACATTAATCCACATCTTAATAGCCCTTACTGTGTGGCGTTCATGCACTGTCTGTAGACTCACTTCCGCCTCTGCCACGGCCGCCGCAACTGTCCAGAAGCAGCCTGTAACAGCTTAAGCTCCTATTTTCTGTATTCTGTTCATCGCTCCCATTAAAATCGTGCCGCACGCGTGCATCTATACACTCGATGCGTAGTCTACCACTGGTGCTACCAAGGGTCCATACACTGCGTGATGAGATGGAAATCGTGGTTGGCCAAAGCGTGAAAGGGTGCTTGGCAGCGATGATAAAAGCATGGTGAGAGGTTCAAGTCATTAGTTAGTCGCGAGTACGTTGGAGATTGTGGTGAGTTTACCTCCTTGATTTTAGGTAAGGCAAATAGAGATAATTAACAATAACTATAGATAAGTCTAGCTCTAGTCTGATATCATGTCTAACGACAGCGGCCTTCTTGACTAGTTTTTAAGCCACTATTAAGTTTTTAGGACGCCGCCGGCAGGTTCTTAGGTAGAGCACCCTGACTGTAGAAACCGAACATTAAAACAGAGTCAAGTTAGTAGCCTCTTAGTCGGCCCACCGGTAAGTTGAAAGTCGATAGTCGCGCAAACACACTCGAAGCCGCTCGAGGACGCGGTGGGCACTGGTTCTGGGAGAGGAGGAGAAACAAAAGCTAACGGACGGAGAAGAACCATAATTTAATATATTTGCTATGACGGAATGGCTGCTGCTACAATTTCCAGAACTCCCACCACAATAAAGTAGATGCGCATCTTGGACGTTTCGCTTCGTAAAGCTCACGGTCTTGTGCTCCTTTCCTGATGATGTAGAACCATTGTCAACTTGTCCTGCAGAATGGTATTTGCTTCTGGTGAAAGTGTGTGCGATCACGCGGAAAAAGGAGGTGAATATTGGGCGTCAACACTATTTTATCGGTGGTTCTGGCTACAATTACCTGTGGCACACCCACCGGTAGGTTTTACTGGCAAGTTCGTTTTCCGTCGTGTTCGGGGTATTAACCTTGAGGGATAACCCAAGTGCCTTCCTTCTCGAATCCGTCAGTGAAATATCTTTGAACTGCTTCGTCGTATGATGCTTGTAATTTGTCAAGTCTTAGCGTCCATTTCTTTGCGTTGCACAGCACTTTCCTGAACGCCTTTGTGGATAGGAACTTTACGAGCGTGTCAATTCGATCGTCCGGTAGATTGCTGAACAGGCCCTGAGCTTGACAAACGATTGTGGAAATCCTTGAAAACCCGACCTTTCTCTCGAGCAATTTGTATTTGCTGCCATCACACGTGCCTCGTTCAGCAACCACCTTGTCCTTGAACATCGCTGATTGCCGGAAATAAGCAGCAATACTGTCATTCGTTCCACCCTGGGCAGCCTTGAATGTTTCATATCCCGATAACAGGTTCCGTTTTGCGCGACATCTAAGTAATTTGGGCGTTGGTGAGATTCCATCGACTTTCTTTACTTCAGCTCGCTGGATATCTTGAATTCTGAAGTCTTCTCTTTCTCCTATCTTTCGAATGTTGGATTCATCTGAATGACATGCCGTCCAAGTTGATTGAGGTCCTTGCGTGCAGACGGCAGTCTCAGAATTATTTTACCGCAGCTTCTCTTCGGAAATTCACTGAAATCAAGCTTGTTGTTTTTCTCTGAGGAATTGTCATTAAAGTCTTCACTGCCGGACGTCGATGTCGATGGTGATGTGGAAGCAGATGCAGCTGTAAGAATACACAAACGACGATAAAATGGTTCAATTGAGGGATTCAGTTTTTGAAACAGCCGATTTGGCGGAATGACCGCATTCTGCAGAGCGAGAGAGGTTTTCAAGATTCCTGCAAGGCCCGCTGTGCCTTCAGCGTACCCCACGCCAGTCTTGATGCTGCCAACAAAAAGAGGGATGTCCTCAGGGCTTCCAACGGTCCGTACAAAGTGAACCGTAACGGTCACGTGAGCAGTACAAACGTACCGAGTTTGTAAGCCGTACCGTACGTTTAATGATGCCCTAGGTACAGTACGCAGTACAGACCGTATTACCCTTTTAGGAGGTTTGTATGGCGATTTTAGAGGAGTAGGAGGGCTCTAGCAAACAGTAGGCTTATAGGAGCGTTTAGGAGGGTTTCTAGAGCTCTAATTAGCTAAAAGTTTTGCAAGTACAACATTTTTTAATCTATCTATCTACAATCTGTTGTCTTAAAAATGCCTATTACTAACTATTTTCTATTACAAAGTTATCTATCTACGCGCCTTACTATCTTATAGGTCTTATTTAGTTAATTAGATACCTCTGTTGCAAATTTAGCACAGTCTTGCACACTGTAGAAGTTAAGAGCCCATTACACTGCGTCTCCTACCTTATCCTGCAATAGCACACTGTCTGTGGCTAAAAATTAGTTGCAGCAGTTCCTAGAGAACTGTAATTATAATGCTAAGGTTAAGTTTATAATTAACTAAAATAATATATAGCTGTTAGACTTAAAATAGGCGTTGCCCTTAGCGTAATTAGGTTACTGTGTAAAGAACAAGATTATGTTGCGAGGCAATTGTACGCTGTTAAGGTTATAGGCTTATAGTGCAGATTTAACACTTCTAGTTAGTTATCTAATAGCTATTTAGACCTTAATCCTGTGTCTCTAGAGACTTATAATATTAGCTGTTTTAACTAGAGTACAACGTACTTTAATTAAATTGTACTACTTGTACAGATTACGTGAGCTGTAACAGTTACAATACGTACACCTATCTCTCCTCCTCCCTACTGTGCGAACGTACTCAAAATCTCACCCGTACAGGCCTCAAAATCGCCCAATCGTACAGTACTACGGCTCGTTGGAAGCACTGGATGTCCTCGTCGCTTCTGCTGTCGGAGAAAAAAGAACTAATTGCCTCAGCTTCGGTTGGATCGCCTGTAGGAGTTCCTGTGCCATGCGCTTCGAAATACTGCGGGTGATCACTGGGCTTACGAGTATCAAGACCTGCTCGCTGGTAATAGGTACTAATGAGTTTGTGCTTGAGCCCTCGGGCTAGAATTTCTCCGAGCCAATTTCCGTGATTGTAAGGTAGGTTTCGGAGTTGACTTACACGGTGATGCCTTTTGCTCGTCTGTCTTGGTTGATGTCTGTCTCTCTGATGACGCATTTAATGTGATCTCCATCCTTCTCCGCCTGCGCAACCGTTTTCAGTGCGACGGCCGCGACCCTCCCCTCCCGCATAACAGCCCCCTCCTTCCAGTTATACTAAGGATCTGAATCTTCCTTTCGCCAATGTACCCTACGGGATCTAATAAGAGATTCGACCCTGTGGTAATTGCAAACCAAGAAGCACCTGACCGCAGCTGCTGAACTGCATAGTGAACGCTGTAGAGACTCGAGTTACGGTCGCTATCAATGCTAATAGAAGGTCCATGCCAGTCAAAGAAATAGGAAATACGATTCAATATCAGCCGTCGGGATGTTCCTGTGATGTGGTGGTTGGGGATTGCGTCCTCGTCACGACTCATCATGTTTTCGTAATCAGACACCATCATTCCCGAGTATACAGCGGTTTCAGAGCCTCGAAGACCCTCCATCAGCTAGCCACCATCCTCCAGTGCCTCGCACACGGTCTCAAGAAATAGGGGAACTTTCAAGTCAAGGCTCTTGGCTCCTAAGAGTGGAACGCTGAAAAATTGCGCATCGAATCGCCTCACGTTGTTATCGTTCGACAGCAGGTAAGCTCTGTCCACGTTTATGTGTCCATGGTATTGTCCATTCTTGTGATAGAATCCTTGGCTGTTGAACCGATTCTTAGGTATGGAGAAGAAAATGTCCTTAGGATTGACTAGGAAGTCCCACAAGCTCGAAGGTGAGTTGACATTTCCTAAGAACCGACACGCGCTCCTAACGATTGCGATAGGTTCCGTAGGCCCCATTCAAGCCCTCAATCGGAACCGATCGAACTCAGATGAATAATAAGCGGGGAGAAAAGCACAGAAAACTCATCTCGCAGCTCGAGGCACTCAACTAAGTGGAGGTGAAGGTTAAACTTGCCAAAATAACGTTTGCAGAACGCGAAGATAGTGCTACTAGCAAGTTCTAGTGGGATGATATCGTAGTCGGAAACGCAATGCCCTCCATTGGCCTAGCAATGGACAGACATGGTGGAATTTGGCAGACATACGGTGCTGCTCGGTGCTGCTCATGTTCTCGATTGGCCCAATATAGATTTCTGGAAGGCAGAAAGCCCCTTCGTGCCATTTCAGAAAGGCTTCTGCACCTCCACAGCTGTAGCGTACACAACGGGCATCGTAGCTTGATTCGGTTAATGGGCTACGGAGCTCCGTAATGAACGATGGCTTACTTGACTCGCTTCTACGATGCCCACAAGGTGCCTGAAACTGGTAGGTTGCGTCTGCTGCGCACACCCTAGACGAAAATTGACCAGGGGCACAATACATGGACTAAGTCCGCCTGTCTAAGGCCGCGGGGATATACTCCAGGAGCACTGTGACCATCGTGACCAGCACGTCAATCAGACCCTGTAGGCGTAGATGCGATGTGGCGGCGAGTGAGGTGGGTGAGGCCTTTGCCTTGTGGAGATGTATGGGAGTAGCGGCGCTAGCAGGGCTCACTGACGAGTCCGTGCAGAGCCGGTCGTTGCGTCGCTTGGTGTGATCAAGGTCATCTGCATGTGAACACCATGGCTGCATGCAGGCTGTTTCCAGTTTTAGCACCGAGTACGCACTTGTTGCCTTGTTGCCTTGACGCTGCTGATTGAAGGCAAGGGTGAAGTACGTCCGATGAGAGCTTTCATCATGGGTGCAGATCCCTTGACCTGAGTTCCGATCAATATGAGGAAGGCGCTGTCATACTATTGCTCCCCTCTTGTAAACGGAGCACGATGCCGGATATCGACCGTATCCTCCTACGCCACTTCAGACCTACACGTGTTGAGAGCAATACAACTGATCCTATCGTCAACCCTGGCCCAGGTCAAGTCCTTGCTGTTCTGTGCCGTCGTAGATGGCTGTGATCCATGTCCGTGTCTCGGGCTCAACAACAACGATGCCTTGAAGGTAAGATTCGAAACGAAGATACCCATTTTATCGAGTAGTGGTTTGAAAGTCATCACGCAGCAGCGGATTATGCTGAGTCCCATCTAAACGCTAGCCCATACGCCTAGAATGTATTGATTGCCAACAACAACACAGGCTGCCAGGCCTGTGCCGATTTTGACGAAGCCAATGACACCAGCAAGGCCGCCAATCGTGAAGACAATTAATAGTCTCCATTTTGTCTTCTTGTCCGTCTGAATGCTCCACAGCATAATCACCGCTTGTATCACTAAAACAAAGTCAATAAGAGAGTTAGCTGACTTATTAACGGCAAGGAAAGGGCCGTAGAAAATGCAGTGGCCTTGAGTTTGAGGTCCCCAGAACTTGCGGACAGGTACGCACTGAAAGACGTTGACGAAGACGTTCTCGATCGTGTAAATTATCTATAAGGCTCCGACAGCCTTATCTAGAACGCGTATGTATGAATTACACCGAAGATCCGATAGTAGAGGAAAAAGATACTGAACTTAGCGCAAATTTAATTAAGAGGGAACATGAGACCTGCAACGAACCACATCTAGTTGGCTTGTATTGGTGCATGGTCGACCGAGCTTAAATTCTGTAGAAGGGGATGGCTGTACACTAGATGCTGCGACGGAAACTCACCTTGTTGACAGCGGCAATCTCTTCAGGTATAGGCCCTGATCCTTCTGGTACTGTCCGACATTGCCGGACCCTGTCAAGGTTAGCCTGGCTCAATATGCCGACTATGTCAGAGCCATTGTATGCTGAAAATCGAAGGGAAGACGACAAGAACCGCAAAGCCAGCTTGCAGTACTGGGTCAGTGACAAGTCCTAGCAACTCGGAAGTATACAGCCCATACAATTCTCGGTTCGGTCAGTACTGTTTGGGCTATTATTCTAGGTATAACAAGAGTGGCACAGTGCAGACACTAGACTTCCCTAGTAAAATATACCCCTGCACCACTGTACACAACCATCTTCCCTGTTACGTCTAGAAACTCTCAGCTACTTCTACTCTCTCTTGTCTTACGTTAATCATACTCTCTCCTGGCTAGTAATATATATGAGAGCTCTTGCTCCCACTGTAAGCTCTCTAGTCCAATGTTAATTCACTAGTCAAGTCATATTGTGCTCAATTTTCTCACCCCATGGCTCCAACACAATGGCCTCGCGAGCTTGCATAGACCGACGGGGCATGGTGCCTAGCAGAACGTCTTGCATGAGCTGAGGAGGGGTCATATGGGAAGCGAGTCGACAAGGTAGTGAGATCCAAACAAAGTGGATTGAACGAGTGTATTGTAAGGTCTGAGGAGCTCGATAGAGCTCTGGGCTGACTATATACTGTACGAGAGAGGAGCTATGCCTAATGAGTGAATAGTGCAGTACATGGGTATGATATCGCGTGAGACACGTGCGACAGAACGTACTACGAGTCGACTTTTCACTACGTTTCAGTCACATGAGCTGTACAAAAGTTGTAACTTTGTAACTTGTTACATACAATGGCTGAGATTTAACAATATAGTTGTGATATAATTAGAACAGACTTTTTTAGAGTAGTAGTGGTTATTTAGTGCAAATGTAATTAGAGGGCAAAGAAGAACGTATTCTGTACACGTTAGCTACTATATAACAAGCAGAGACTTCTATATTACCTTATAGAATATAAGTATAGATTTTAATGTATTAGCTTACTTTAATTCTTATTACTGCTTTGTCTTTTTAATTTTAATTAATCTAAGTTTAACATAAACTGTTACTAGACTAGATAAATTACTAAGCTAGATAAAACTTTTTAGCGCAACTAACACTATATTTAAAACACAATGTCTAAACAATATAACGTATACTACAAGCAAGTTGCTTACACACCTAAGTTGCTTACTTTTGCTAAGACACCACAACAAACTCTATTATAGCCTATAAAAACCCGCTCTAGCATTGTATAGTGTATTACAGCCTAGAATAACGTACCTAACAGGTTGGCTGGCCACTTTTGCTAAGCCCCCACTAAACTCTACCTATCTACATAATGCCTTAACAACAACACTAGATTAAATCTTCTAAAGAACGTTAGATATAGCTTGCTTTTTAGGCTCTTAAATAAGACTTAAAACTCTCCTTATAACATGCTGCAGCTATCTATAATGTCTCTTACACAACACTAAGCAATTAACACGCTAGAGAGCCTTTATAAGCAGAATACTAGCCTAAATTAAGAAATCTAACTAAGCTTAAAAAGAAGGTAGTTGTTAAGTATATACTTAAGCTTATTATACACAGATTTCCCCCTAGGCTTATAGCTATAGCTAATATAGCTAATTCCTTGCCTACAGAGCGTAATCTAGGCTAGGTTAGCTTAAACTAGACTAGTATGTAGGTTAAGCACTGCTCTAAGTTTATAATAAAGTTTAATTATAAGTATAATTATAAGAGAGCACTTTATAAGAATCTAGAGGTTATCTAGGGCTAGTTTTGCCTAGTAGCTAACATAAAAGCTAAGTACAGTATTTAGAACAAAGACAGGTATAACTTTAACAAGTTAAGCTTTATAATAAGCTAGATATTAACTAGAGCAGTTATTATAGCTTTAAAGAGACAAGAACAGCTAAAAGCAATATAGTAAAGTAATAAAAAGTAAATAATAGTTATCTAAGGCATTAATGTAATAAAGTAGGCTATACAATTATAAAGCTTTAAGCAGTAAATAAGGCTACTATATAACATAAATTGCATAAAAAAAAGCAGATTTAGGCAGAAAAGACTTTAATAGTTAAGAATAGGGCTTGTCTAACTACTCTAAAGGAGTTTAAAGCGCGTAGTAATAGGAAGAAGCTAAAGACGCAGGTGCACGCTAAAAAAAGTAAGCTAAGTTAAAAGTAATGTAGGCAGTGTAATTAGACTAGGCATAACTTGCGTACATGTAAGCAAGTAGCAGAAGTAGACTCTAAATAATATCTTATGTTATATTACTTTATATAGGGCTAAAGTGGGCTGTTTTGCAAGAGAATAGGGTGGTTTTAGTGGGGGCTTAGCAAAAGTGGCCGGCTAACCCGTGTGGCTGGCCAACCTGTTAGGTACGTTATTATTTAGAGACTACTTCTACTTCTTGCCTACACATTTGCGCGTTATGCCTAGTCTAATTGCACTGTCCGCAGCGCCTTTAGGATAGCTTACCTACTTTAGCTTACACCTGCTTCTTTGCTATAACAAAGTAGGCACGGTCAACCACGTCGCCTTCTCTCGCTTATAGAGGTTTAGGCTAGACTAGAGACAACCGCTAGTGCTAATGCTAGCCTAGTATTATCTGTATATATATTATACTATGCGGGAATACTTGGCTTAAGTATTCTCGTGCGTACCTTTTAGTGAAGTGGGGAAGGTCGTATAGTATCGACTTGGCAGGCAGGGCGCCTACCTTATTGTAACGATTCACATGAATGGTTTCATCTCGGGTTGCCCGGAACCTATCCGAAAGGTCCTCATATCGGCCCCGACCCTGACCTGGCCCCGACCCTGCCCTCCCCCCTGCTGTTACCCCTATTCCCCTAAGTATTTAGTCGCACCTCTCCCCCCTTAGCTAGCTTTGTAGTTTTCTAATATCCTTTTGTACAAGGCCTATAGGTGTTAATAGCATTGCTAGGTTTCTAAGTCCCTACGCACTTTTATATACTCTTAAGTAGATTTATACTACATTTAAACCTATTATCTTCTCTATACTATTACATTATATTAACAAAACTTGCTTTTACTAGTAACGTACTTCACAGGCAAGTTGCTTACACACCTAAGTTACTTACTTTTGCTAAGTGTGAGAGGTATCGAGCAGGAAACACAGGTCACAGAGAGGGAATGCAGGATAGGGGGGGTAACGAGAGTAAACCTTAGGGTTGGAGGCAGAGGTACGGAGGCCGAGGAGCCTATATACCCCGTGCCAAGCCCTTAGGGTACTCAGGGGTTGGATAGCTGTAACATAACCGTGACACTAAGACTCTACTAAACTACTTTTTTTACACTAATGCATTTCTAATAACACTACTTAAATGTGCTAAAAAAAACATTAAATACAGCTTATACTTTAAGCTTTTATATAAAATATAACACTTTTAAAATAATATATTATAGCTATATATAATGTTTTTTTAAAAAATAATAAATATCTTGTCCGTACGCAGCAGCAGCGTCGCGGCCTGGATACGAACGATCGCGCACGAGCAGGATCACGTATCTATGTCACATGATGCTTGTGCGCGAACCTCTGTGCGCGAACATCTAGATATCCCCTTTTTCTTCTATACAGAGGAAAGACAAGAGCAATAGAACTAGAAACATGTTGCTCTTACCTTACCTACCTTATACACTATGCACACTATACACTACTCTTACTCTTACTACTTAAGTGCTTATACTATAAGCAGCTAGCTATTAGAGCCTATTTAACACTAATTAGTAGTTAATTTAATTAACTATAAATTAGTAAAAGTAATAATAAAGTACTTACACTTTATAAAGTACTTTATTTTATTACCTATTTTTTAAGAAGAGTAACAACAGAGCACTTACGCTTTATAAAGTACTTTATTTAGTTACCTATCTCTTAGGATAGTAGATTAATCCTTTACATTATACAGCAAGCTCTGCTACTGTATAGAGTAAGAAGGAGATAGTGTAAGACGCACACTAAAGCTACTAAAGCTGCACAACCTAGCAGCTAGATAATAGCACATTAATCCTTTACATTATACAGCAAGCTCTGCTACTGTACAAAGTAAGAAGGAGATAGTGCAAGGCGCACACTAAAGCTATTAAAGCTGCACAACCTAGCAGCTAAATAATAGCAGTACCTGCGCAATCTACTGCGCAAGCAATTAACCCTACACTTTATAAAGCACTTTATTTTATTACTTATCTTTTAAGAAAAGTAATAATAAAGCACTTACACTTTATAAAGTACTTTATTTAGTTACTTATTTCTTAGAATAGCAGATTAATTCTTTACATTATATAGTAAGCTCTGCTACTGTATAAAGTAAAAAGAAGATAGTGTAAGGCGCACACTAAAGCTATTAAAGCTGTATAACCTAGTAGCTAGACAACAGCAGTACCTGCGCAATCTACTAAAAAAGTAATTAACTATACTATTATAATAAAATCTTATTAGCAACTAACAACTTTATGTAATAATAAAAAGAATAAGAAATAATTCTTATTATATAAATAACTTGCAAAGAACATAGAGATATTAGAGGCAATACTATAAAATAAGACTAGCCTAGAGTACTAGAATAATAAGATTAACATGTTAAAAGCTTTAATAAGCTTATAAACTTAATTATATATAAGTTACATAATTACTAATTTACGCATAATAACTTAAAAGGGCGCTACTTTTCTAAGTGCATATATAAAGAATTTTAAAGAATAGACACTATAAAACTTTTTAGCACTTAGCTGCGCGTTTAAAAGGGAGCTTATATAAGTGCTAGAGGATAAGAGAATTACACTATAGCTAGGCACTAAAAGTACCTAAGCCTAGAAGCTGTATAATATAGCATAAGAGAAAGTAATTACACTAAAAAAGCTTTATATATAACCTTTATTACTATATAAAGCTCTGCATAGAAGCAGACTAAATATAATGCTGCTATTAATATTAAATGTACTAGCATTACCTACTTCTACACTTTAGCTAGCACTACACTAATTACTATACAAACAATACATGCCACCCTACCTAACACCTGCTCCACACCCTTAATTGTACACACCACCGCCTGCAGTAGTGTATGCACCACTAATACCACCTACACAATCTATACTACATTACAACCTGTATAAACTTCTACCCTAGAGAGAAAACGCTAAAGAAAAACTCTTAGTAAATAAAATTATATAATTCTAAAAAGCATAAAAAAAGAATAATAACTATATAAGTTAACTATATAATATCTTTATAAATAAAATAAAGATCTTTATTAATCTATGTTAATAGCTAAATATCTAGAAAACTTAGTACATAGACATCTTTCTAGACATTTTAAAAAGTTAGGCAAATATGTACTATATATATAACATAGGCTCTAGATATAACTAGAAGCATTTATATAACACCTTAAGCAGTTACTTTAACACTAATATAAACTATAGCTAGTACTAGACAGACTAGACAATAATAACTTTTACATAATACTAATAAAAAAACTTTAATAAAAGTTTATATAAAGTTTTTAAAATAATAA